TTTAAGAGACTCTCATTTAAAGGGACAATATTTTTTGTAGTAGGGACAATAGTTTTTGAGGCACTCTCATTCACTACCTCACATTTGGGGCCAGTAACAATAGTTTTTGAGGCAATAGTTTTTTTTGTAGTAGGGACAATATTTTTTGTGCAGGCTTCCTTGCCATTTCCATTAGCAGAGGTAAGAACCTCAGGGGCATCATTAGTGACAATAGCATATGGAGCTAAGGGAGCAAAAGTAAGATAAACCAGGGATAACAGGAGTAAATCCAGCAGCAAGTACAGCTCCAAACTCCAACCCGTATGTTGCCCAAGCAATTCTCAAAGTTCTGGATATATCAACAGCCCAAACCCAACACAAAAACCCTTAAAATTCAGCAGCATTCCGTGAGAAAAAGGCCACATGTGAAGAGGTTGTCACTGTCCAAATCACAGGAAATAGCCTTAATTTCAGCAGCACGTAAAATTCAGTCCATTGCAGGTCAAAACAGCGGCTCCAGCAAACCTTTTCAGTTCCAATTTCCTGCCCAGGCACACAGCAAAGTAGTTGGGCAGGTTGGAGGTCCAAACATCAGCTTTCCTAGGGGTAATATCCAGACAGTAGTTTTCCAAGAGTACAAACATCAGGTCCAAACCATTATCACCCATGGGCATTGGACTGCTAGTGCATTCATATGAAAGATCAGACCAAAATACCAATTTAATTTAACTGGCCACCACATTGAACAATCACAGGTCACGCACCATAGCAAGCCATCAAGAAAGAGCAACATAAATTGGTGCAAAAATCCAGCATCAAAATCTCGAAGTAGTCTCGCCCAATAATCAACAAAATAAAGCAAAAAGGAAAGGTCCAATAATAGCACAAAGTAGAAACATAGTTCATATTGTGTACAGTAACCGCACACCCAAAATCAGTCTTCAATCACAAGATTATTCATATGGAATTGTAATCCATGATAATACCTTGATGGACGATTTTCTCTATCGGACAAGAGATGGTGGTGATAAATGTTCTCTATCATACAAGAGATGGCATTGATTTTGAAGAAGATGACGGAAATCATCTCTATCGGAGAAGAGATATTCTGAAGGCCGGGACGCGATAGACCTAATTGCCAATTGGGGGCACGGGCAATGAAAAATCTGGAGGGATTTTAAAATTTGAGATTAACTTGAAAATATTTAGAAGCAGCAATTTGATTTTAGAAACAAAAAAGTTTTTTTGATGTGATGTAATGCATTTATAGATTAGATCATGCAAACAAGACACGACCTAGATAATTAAATTGTTTTTCTGGAGATTTGATCTGATCTTAATAGATTTTAATTTTACTTGATTTGATTAGATCTTTTGTTGTCAGATTCAATCTAATTAGATCCGATATGATATGATGCATTTAAGGATTAGATCAAACAAATATAACACGACCTATACAATTAAATTGATTTCTTTTAAAATTTGATTTGATGTTACTAGATTTGAATTTGATTTGATTCGATATTTTTTGAAGATTTGATCTGATCTTATTGGATTTGACTTTGATTTATTCTGATTAGATCTGTTTTTGTCCGATTTGATCTAATTAGTTCGATTATTCCCCATCATATCCATATTCAATGTGGTAATACATCATTTTATTATATGTAATAGTACCCTAGCAGGTGCAAACTAATCAGTTAGTAAACATGTAGTTTTCCATACGTTAAGTACATGTATTAATATATGTATGACCATATGGGTGATCACTTTATGTTCTGCTGTTAGATTCACTCTTCAGCTTTTGCTGAACGTGTAGTTCTTTTTGCTATACGTGGGTAGACATGACGGTACCGGTGTTTACCTTGGAAAATAGTGATGATGGGAAGATGGGCGGTGCACGGACAAGTTTAACATTTATATTCATTCAATTTAAACATTTGGGTATGAACCCACCATTTGTCGTTTAATTTATTTTGGACTGGACTTATCTATTTATTTCCGCTTTTACTCTGCATTTATATCACACATGTTTTGGGAATAACTCCCTAGCATTTATTTCACCAATTAAACCCAACCGTTTTTCATAATAAATACACATTAATATTTTACGTTACGGATGGTTCTCAAACCGCCCATGTAACTCTACCGGTCCATTGGGTCGCGGGTGAACCGGGTCCACGGAAGACGTGTGTTACACTTACTAATGATCTGATTTGGTATAATCTTATCTGTTTGTGTATTTTTGAAATACAATATGTAGGAGAGTATGAACGATGGTGTCTTTTTTAAAAAAATTGAGATGAAGAATATAAAAAATCAATTTTAAAGTAATTTCAAATATTATTTTTTGTGTTTCTCATATCTAGAATGATCTTTTCAATATAAATAGGGAAAGAAAATGAATGATGTTTGACCTACGAAAGGTATAATAAAAATTTCAAATAAACTTGTTTAAAAAAAGGATTTTTAAAATTTTTTTGAAATTAAATCTAACAAGTTAACTAGATAGATAGTGGTGAAAAGCCTATATACTAAAAAAATCGTAAAATATAATTAATTAGTTTAAAAATGTTTTTTAAGTATTTTTAAAAAAATGAAATATTACAATTTAAAGTTCATAGTGATTTAAAAAGGTATAAGAAAGGTGAAAATGTAGTGGTTACCTTGAATTAAATAAAAACGATGTGGTCAATTTATTAGAAATAATAATATTTTTGAAAGTATTTTATAAAATAAATATAAAATTATTTGGTAACATCATCTAAAGTCAATTTTTTTAAGTGTAAAAACGAAAGAAAACAAAAAAAATTTAGAACAACAAAAAATAAAAAAAGTAAAAAAACTTAAAAAAATAAAAAGTAAAAATGAATCTAAAAAATAAAATACAACAAAAAATACTCCGTAGAATGTAAAGTTTGTTTTGGGAAGGAATCCTAAATTTTGGAGGTCTAAATTCCGGTCTAGATTTTTCCGGTCCGGTTCAGGTCTAAATTCCGGTCTAGATATGATTTTTTTATAATGAAAAATAGGTCATTTATGTTTAAATTCCGGTCCATAATAGGGTAAACCCAGACCGGACCGAAAAATTCAGGTCCAGACCAGTCCGGACCGGTATCTAACAGGTCCGGTCTTCGGTCCTTGCAAATAGAAGATTCCGGTTTCGGTCCATTCCGGTTCCGGTCCGATCCGGTTTTGGACCGGTGCACACTCCTAGAAGGAGTATAATCTAAGGGTGGGAAAATGAAAACAATAGAGGGAAGGGAAAATTTTTGACAAAAATGAGAGAGGGAAAAATACCGCCATTTATTTAGGTGATATCCACCGTTCATTCTCAGACTAGAGATTCATTCTAGCCCTATTCACGCCCAACCAAATCGGGAGACTATTCATGCCCAACCAATTCCGCTGCTTCCTCCTTGATTTCATGCTCAATTCTTGAGATTTTTGGACATCTAGATTCGCCCTCAACAAAGGAATCCATATTAGAGTTCAATCGGTGATTTGTCTGCTCGGATATGTAAGAATTGAAGGTCAACGGCTCATTGGTCACCGTTTATCGGCAAAATTTTGGAAATCCGATTTGGCCATCTTCTTGCTAAACTGGAGCCGGAGTTTTGGGGACTCACTAGCGAATATGGGAGCTCTCTTTGAATCTCAAACTGGATTTCTAATCCATGTTAAGATTCCAATGATTTGAGCGTTTGGTTGTCTCGAATTTACTGTTCATAGCGGAAGGTTGAGACTCCAAATCCCCAGGTTTATGCTTTTGTTTTCCTCCAAATCTCTGGTGCTTTTTGGTCATGATTTAGGGTGTGTATCATTCCTTGTCTAGATTTGTGATTCAATGCTGGATGTAATTCCCCTGATTTTCCTTTAGCTCGGGCAACAACTCATGTTAATCGTTTGAATCTACCTGGTTTGTCTGTTGTTTGTACCTACTGCAGCTTTGGATGTTTTGTATGTTATGTGTTTTGTATGTTTTGTTTGTTATGTGGGTAGAGTTTAGGCCTATGTATATCCTACCTTCCTGTGCCCACTCGTGGGATTACTCTGGCTTTGTTGTTTTTGTTGCTTTGTGCTTTGGGAGTGAATCTGATTTGGAATTTGATTTTCACTACCAAAATCAAATTGTTAGAACAAACTTCGAAAGAGAATCTAATTTTGTTTTTTATCCTTAAGGTAAAACTTTTAGGGCTGATTTTCATAAAGAATCTGATTTTGCAGGTGTTTTCTAAGATACAGCTGAAGCTCTAGGGACTGATTTTTTCAATAGAATATGGTTGTGAAGCTAATTTTCAAGATAAAACTGAAGCTTTAAGAGGTGAGTTTGAAGCATAAAATGAGTTAGGGGCTGAATTTAGGACTAGTAAAGCTCATATTTATGAAGAAAGTGAAACTTTGTGGGAAGAAATTTGCGGAACTGGTTTTGATCAAATCATCACTTCACAGTACTTATGATCAGACTTTTTTAAACAAGCTTGAAGTGCTTAGAGATATGTTGTTCATTTGGCACAGATTTAAATCAACTTTAGAGTATGTCTCTTGTTTTGAACATAAAGAATTTCTTACTAGAAACAAAGAAACAATTTCCTTTGAGATTTATCTAAACCCCTTTCCAAAAATTCAAGAGGAAAGATGGGCTATTTTAATTCATGATCACCAAGCTATCAATTCCGAATATATCTTAGTGAATAACCCCGTGCTAATATCAAGGCTAAAGCTCCAAAAGTAGCAAGTACAATTGTTATTTCTATTTGATTATATCTTTACCTATATTTTTAGTATTACTGTAATAATTATAATGAAAGCATTAATTGAAGTTTTAATTGGTTTATGGGCTGAAAGTGTGGTTGCTTTCTGACCCCTAATTACTTCGGAATAATTATAGTGAGTTAGTTTTTGGGGTTTGAAAAATATGAAACAAAAATGCTTATTGTCCACCATATTAGAATAAAAGTACAAGACATTTTCATTCTTATCTGCTCATTCTTTATATTGTATTTTCAGTGGGCGCGAAGAGGGAATCTAGAATACACTATGGATGACATCAATGAAATTAAGGTTGAATTTGCTGGGCACTTCATGAAGTTTCATGCAACTTGAGCAGTGCAAGTATCATAAGGTGACATTTTTTTATTTTGAAAAATGTTCACATTTTGCTTAATTTCTAAGCTGAGTTATGAACTTCAATTGTTAACTAGATGCATAAGATCTGCTTTGGAGGTATTTAGCAAGTAAATACCTCCAAAAAGTTTCAGGTATTTTTGTTATGGAACTCTTTCTTGTTATCAATAAGCATTCATTTTATTTATTTAATGGTATGCAGATTGAGGACTGAAGAGGATGCTTTACAAAAAAATGTTGCTAGAACAAGAGATGAATTCAAAAATGTTATTGAGGGGACAAATAACTAAATTAGGCATGCTCAAAGGACAATTAGAATGTGATTTTAATTATGTAAACATTAAATTATTGGATGCTAATAAGATTTTGGATTGTATGTATTTAGATATTATTCAATATATTGTACATTTTAGAATTTATTTTTGTTTCATGATCAATATTTTAGAATTGAAATAAATTTTAATTATTAAATATAAATGTAAATTGAAATATAGTAGTCTTTCAAAAAGCTTTACAATGTATTTAAACAGTTTTCTAAATCTTTAAAGGACGACTACACAAACATGTATTGTTAATAAATATTAGACAATTGAAACAAACAGTTGTCTGAAATACAACAAATAAGGTTGTTTACATTTTACAAATACAACACATAATAGTAGTTGTTTTATGCAAACATACTTAGTTGTCTTCGGCGCAGTAGTCTGATTTATAACCTGACTAGTGTGTAAAAAGATAGTTTGAATATTTCAAGAACAACTACAAAAAAGCACAGTGTTATTGAGCACTATACAACTGAAAGAAATAGTTGTTTAAAATACAGCAAAATTAGTAGTCTTCATTTTAGAAAAACTACACAAGATAACAGTTGTCTGATGCTATTTTTGTTCAGTAGTCTTCCGAGCAGCAGTCTGATATATCTTACAACTACTTTTGAAATTAGATGTCTATATTTTTGAATGACAACACCACGCAATAGGAGTCTGAGCCAAAAATAACAGTAGTATTCATCACAGAAAGACAACAAAAAATCATAGTTGTCTTTAACTCTAGAAAAGAGATGTCTTACTCATACGGGGACAACTTCAAAAATATGTACTCTGAAACATCACAAAATAGGTGTCGGCAACCGTATTACACAATTGTTTTTGAATAGTAGTCTGTAAATATATCAGACAGCTGCTCGGAAGACTACTGAACCAGCACAGTTAGACTACTAAAAAAAGCAGTTGTCACCATCTGTTTTTGACGTAGTGATTGTTAGTACCATATTCTCTTGAGATTATTTTTTGACAAACAAATATATTTACCTAGAATTATTTTAGATGTTTTATTTAGACTTATAGTCTTAACATGTGCAGAAAGAGAAAGAAGAAAGAGCCTGAATAGAGAATTCTAATCCAACTTGGTTTACTATTAATGAGGAGGAAGCCATGATTGAGACTCTTAAGTACACTCTAACAATGTTATTCTATTCTATATATTATTTTCTCCTACCCTTACAATTTTGGTGTGCAAGAATACGAAAAGACATATTCAGATCCGATCAAAAGAAAAGGAAGAACATGTAGATTTTGATAGTGCAAATTTTTTAGAAAACCTGCACGAATTTGATCATCGCCAAAGATTCGGTCGTTGGATTTTGCTGAAATTTTCAAAGAGTGTTCTCAACACATATGGCTTCAATCTGTTCAATTTTCACGTCAATTGGAGTTACGGATCTTCTATTATCAAAGTTACGATCTACATATTGTCGCTGGTTTTTGTAGAAAACGCAGCTCTCGTGTTTTCGATGGTTGGAGTACCAAATCTTGTCCGATCGTGCTGAAATTTTAGGAGGAGTCTAAGAACTCGTGGAGAGTCAATCTGAACGGTGGAGATCGAATTCTAAATATTGGATCTTGATTTATGAGCTTCGGATCAGCCTGCATATTTTTATAGTTCAAGGAAGAATCTTTGTTTAAAAGTGTACTAAAATCTATGTCCTTGAAAAAGATCTTAGAGAAGGTGTAACAAGCCGTGGAGATATGCAAACAGAGTTTGTCGTCAAGTCATTCATAAGTAGACATATCAATACATTATAAATGTTTGATCTGTTTACATAGCTTTCAATTGGAGATTTCCCCTACACCCCACGAACTTACAATTATAATGTAGTATCTATTCTTACTATTCTCAACATAACGATGTACAAAGAATCAACGTTTTTGCCTTTGCACAATGAATCTTGGAGAGTGGACTTCTTATTACTACTCAAGCCAAAGACGAAGTTATATACTAAGTGTATGACGCATATATATAAAGTTTATAAATTACAATAAATAAATAAAAATTTTCTTCTTTCCTTTTTACTTGTCCCACAAAATTCTTCTCATTTCTATTAAAAAATTACTTTTATTCATACTAATTTTTAACATATCTATTACATCATACATTTTTACTAATAATCTACACATCACATGTTTTTTTGGAAAGTCAACACAAAAATATTCCTATCTTAAATTTCCTAAAAGTTAAAATGAGAATATTTTTTTTGATACAGAAGGAGTATGTAACTGATAAAAACTTGTTGCTTATATTAGAAGGTGATCGAAAACAAGAATTTAATTAACGCATACCTCTATACCCTCTAAAAGCTATTTTTTCTCTCGCTAAAAGAGCTCGTAATAATTAGTTTAATACCCCTTTACAATTTACATACCCCTTTAGAATGAAAAACATACATGACTTTCTGCTAATGAACTATCGTCGTTCAATTAAAGTAATTAGAATAATTGACCATAATATATAGTACTCCGTAAAACCCAACAACTCACATACAATGTTACAAGTCAAACTATATACGGAGTATTAATTACTTTATGGAAGGAACATACTCTTTGAGTTCCAAGAATTTGTTCTCATTTTCTATTTTTCTAATTTTCCAGTCCCAAAATCATGTCACATTATTCAAATTATTATGCGAGAAAGGATATATATATATATGTACCTAGCCACCTAGGCCCACTAGTTTCAAAAGAATCCTAACGAGTGATTAATTATACAAACGCATATCTCAAAAGAAAAAAACCGAGGATACCTTGAAGAAAAATTCCGTTTAAAATAAATAAACAATCGAATATTTTTTTTTTGAAAAAATGAAAGATGAGATTTAGCTTTCCTTTGATCTACTTGAAGACGCAAGCAATGATGCATGAATGCGTGCCTAATAATCCAGCAATAATAAAAAGGGAAAAATAAATGTACAAGTGGGTGGGGTCAAGATATATATACTCTCTCCATTTCAAAAATACTTCTATTTTAACTTGACACAAAATTTAAAAAGAATGAAAATGTGTGATTGTAAATAACGTAAAGGAGAAAAAAGTTCTATTAGCCACTTAAAATTTTCCCAAAAAATAAAAGATAGAGATTTTTTTGCGAAGTTTTTAAAAAGGAAATATGAAGTTTTTTTTAAAGTGATGGAGTACAGATATAATTAGGCCCTTCCATGGCTTTTATTTACTAGTCGGTGCGCAGATGATGCTTATTACTTTTTTTATTGTTCCAAATTTGACAAAATCAACCGATTACAAGTAAACGCGGTGCATTATTGTCTTGATGTGAGCCCTCAGTCTTTTTATATTGGAGAGCCTCATCATCATTCTTCTCAACAAAAAACTTTTTGTATAATTAAAAACTACATCAAAAATTGTTTGCGAGAAAACTAACTATATTATTTTCTCAAATGGTAGCAAATTTGGCTTAAGAATATAGTTAAAGCTTGATCAGTTAAATAGTAAACAGACAATTTAAATTGAGACGAAAAAAATAGTAACTGACTCTAGAAGGAAAGGAACAAAGCGGGCTTATCGATCTCTAAGTCGAGTGAAAATTTAGATAACAAAAGAAATTCAAGCGGTACCAACTTACGCTTTATTACTCCGTATGTAACTTCTGAATTTTTTTAGCAGTATCGACTCGATTAGCTTGTGGATTATTTATCTCCTAGCATATTTAGGAATGATTTGTGAATTAATGGAGTACTCACCACAACAAAAATTGGTCACCAAAACAAAATGGAAGAGTTCAATTTAATTTAGGCAGACAATTAGACAACAATAATGAGGGGATTCTCCATGTATTATGGGAAAACGGAGGGAGAAAAGTGGAGACAAAAGACGATGTGGTAACCACTGTAATCAACGTTGGTCGGCTGACGGTGAAGACAGCAACTCAACACTAAAAGCAATTAAAAAGCACATTAACCGTTTTTCCATTTTTTCTTTTTATAAAAAAAAACCACAGCCCTTATCGGCATGAAAAATTCTACCATCAATAATTAGTTCCCTGCCCTCTTCTACGAACCATAATCATCTCGTCCCCACGGAATCCAATGCCCATCATACAAAATCATTGGTGGCTCCCCGTAGGTTAATAAAACTTAATTGGAGAACCTTACTTTGCACCATAGTTTTAGAAACTTAATTTTAAAAATTCCACCGAATACCGAACCGATCAAGACACTTGTTTATTTGTTGAGTGGTTCAAACTATTAATGATAAACAATTCAATATGTAAATGTATATTATTTATGTAATTATCTTAATCTCTAGTTGTTATCTACACGCCTGAGCCTCCTATCAAATAGGATCAACCAACTAATACTCCCATGTATTTTGGATCAGTAGTTTGTAATACTTGTGTATAAGTACTTCTCAATTATGAATGAAATGCAATTTATCACTATTCTCTTATATGGTATCGGAGCTTCACTTCTCTTAAATGAGAGCCTTCTTTTTTTCAATCCTCTTCGTGCACGTTCCTCACCGCAGTTTCATGTTATCTTCTTCATTCCGACAATGACAACCCCCGTCAATGAGCCCATCATGTTGCCTGCTCCCAAACACTTTCCCATCAAACTCATCACCAAAACCAATTTTCTTGTCTAGCGCAAACAAGTTCAATCCATTTTGGTTGGACTTGATCTGTTTGGTTTTGTTGATGGCACGGTCAAAGCGCCCACTCCATCATCTGTTTCCAATATGAGTATTTGTATTATTGGTTGTGAGCTTGAACATGTTTCCGTCATGAGTGACGTAGTCCTCCATCTTGAACTGCACGAGCTAATGGCGGTTTGAACTTTGAAGGAACCTAGCTCCGGGAGAGGAGAGGCGAGAAGTTGAAAGAGAGAGAGAAAGAGAGAGTGTGTGCGTGTGAGAATAAGCGGGGAGGCCGGGGGCATTGAGTGTGTAATAAGGCACGTATGGGGGTTGGGAGGTCAAATTTTACCATCGCACTAACATTTTGTATCAATGTAATCATCAAAATATTAATACTCCCTCCATCTCCAATTTAATTACAATTATTTTTTTTTCTCCTCTCGATAACTTTCGTTTGTTTACGCGGTTTCATTAAGCATTTGATAAAATAAAATATTTTTGTCATCACTTGTTTTTGTAAAACTTTTGATATAGCTTCTAATATGTAATTTTTATTTCTTATTTATATATACCGATTTGTAAATAAAATGATTTTAAAAAGTGAGATAATTCTCCTCGTAAACTCCAATTTGTAATGAAATTGGGGACAGAGAATATAAATTTTTGAGGTATATCTTTATTTCATGAGATGGGAGTAAGTAAAGTAGGTGCTAGCTATCTAGACCAAGAGTCACAAGAAGGTCATTTTTCCTTGTATTGCCATTAATCATGAAAATGTAATAGCCATGAGGAGTGCGGGAGCGTATAAAAGACTACAGAGGCCAGGGATTCTTAATTCTCTCTAATAGTCAACCCATAAAGAGAGAGGGAGGGAGGCAGACACAATATCATAATTTCGCCTCACGACATATTCGTTTCCCTACTCACATCATCATTCCTTTCATCATTGTTGTTACTCCTATTCTCATTTTAATTACTCCATAATAAAAATAATAATACTAATTCTAATAAAAAAATAATTGCTCAGGTATTAATAATTAATCATCATCAAGGACGAAAATGGGGAAAAGTAGATAAACCATCACCCCACCACCAAAGTCTCTCCCTCGAATTCAACTCCTATCTTTCTTCCAAGACTTCTGACTAATACACACTTATACAGTACCCATTCAACAAACCAAACCTCCCACACACACACACACAAAAAAGGTTAACTAGCTAGCCACTAAATAACTCCTTCAACAATTCCTATATAACCCTCCCCACCAATCTCCCCTCTCCCCCCAACCAATTCATCCAAACCTTAATCTTCTCTCTCTCTTTCTCTCATCATCCAATTCCTCAAAAACACACACTCACCCAAACACACACACACATACATAAGACCGACCCCGGAGATCGATCAGGTGGTGATGGGTCTTGATGACGTCTTTTGCACCCGGCTTTTCTTGGGGCTAGGCTTTCCCCATCACGCATCGGGAAAACCGGCGGCCTCGAAAGCCGCCGCCGTGGGATTCGAGCCGGACCTGACTCTCAGCTTGTCAGGCGAAACCCAGGATCCGGCGGCCGCCGCCAAGGCCGTCGTCGTATCTCTTGCCAACAACAACAACAACAAGGCCTCTGTTGACCGGTCGGGTGATTTGCTTTACCGACAGGACAGCGCTGCTTCCTCGTACTCCAACGTCAGCGTGAAGAGAGAGAGGGAGAGCGATGAGGGAGAGATTGACCGGGTTTCCCCTAGGGTCAGCGACGAAGACGACGACGGCGCTAACGGCCGGAAAAAACTCCGTCTCTCCAAAGGGCAGTCCGCCCTTTTAGAGGAGAGCTTCAAACAACACAGTACCCTCAATCCCGTAAGTGTATATATATTAATCCTTTCGTCTTTTTTATTTTTGTTTTCAAGTCTCAAAAAATTGAATTTTATATAATTTGACTCTTGAAATTTCAGAAACAAAAACAAGATCTAGCAAGGGAGCTCAATCTGAGGCCCCGACAAGTGGAAGTTTGGTTCCAAAACAGACGAGCCAGGTAATTAATTTAATATTCTTTCCTTCTAAATTACTCCCTCCGTCCTAAAATTAACTTCCCAGTTTGATTTTTGTAGTCAAACTTTTTAAACTTTGACCGTATATTACGGAAAAAATACATTGAATTTTCATATAAATTTATTAGCTATGGATTCATTTTGAAACATATTTTGAAATATATAATTTTTATGAAATATATTTAAACAAAAAATGAGATATTGATAGTCAAAGTGTCACATTGGAGACCGTAAAAAGTCAAATGAGAAGTTAATTTTAGGACGGAGGGAGTAAATAATTGGGAGGGTGCAATATATAATTGATATACTAATAATTAATGATTAACAGAACAAAGCTGAAGCAAACGGAGGTGGACTGCGAGTTTCTGAAGAAATGTTGCGAGACGTTAACGGAGGAGAACAGGAGGCTAGCGAAGGAGGTACAAGAGCTGAAAGCGCTGAAGATGACGGCGTCGCAGCCGGTGTACATGCAACTCCCGGCGGCCACACTGAGCATGTGCCCGTCGTGCGAGAGGATCGGCGCGGCGGTAGAAGCGGCGGCGTCAGGCAAGAAGAGCCCTTTTACCATGGCCCCCAAACCCCACAATTTCTTCAACAACCCATTCATCACCAACCCATCGGCCGCCTGTTAGTTCATTTGCGTGCGCCACTTAACCAATTATTGCGTCCTTATTTAATTTGTCCCTATATATATACTTCCCCCACAAACAAACATATATTACTCCTTCTTAAAAAAATCAAAATATTATTTTATCTTATCTTCTTTCTTTATTATATATAGATATAAATATATAAATACGTCTATATATGAATCATTAATATTAATAGTGCGTGGATATATATAGCACGTTTGATCTGAAATGTACCCCCCAACCACTTTTTTTTTGGTGAGGGATTTGTGATCATCCAAAAATGGATAATATTTGCATAGCTTTGTAGTTAATTAGTTGATTAATCTGTACGTATGTAGATAACAAACATCGAGATTACTACTAATGTATCCAATCTCTTTGTTTCTTTGTGACATATGTATTATGAATTTGTTTATAAATATATGTGTGTTGTGCAAATCTCAATATTAATATTTAATGGATTGAAATAACAATTCTCTTATGATTATTATGATTATTATTTTAAGCTCTTTATTTTATGTTTCTTTTTAAATGAGGGGAGGGGGGCATCATAACCTCATATATATATATATATATGCGATTATAGGATGTATATATGTAGATGACATAATAATGAAAGGGATATGTATGTTTGGGTTCGGTCGAATATAATTCTCCAATCAATAATTGAGATCGGGTGAATGAATCAACCAAAAGTGATCACGGGAAAAGGGGGGCAAAGGGCAAATGATTCGAGATTATTACACAAAACTAACTTTTTCAAAAAGGTATGGAAAGTAAACTTTCATCCATTTCAAAATTAACTTCAAATGTAAAAATGGTTTGCAATTTAAAGAAATAATAAATGCGATTTACTAGGTGTATCCTAAGTGTACACTATAACAGACACGCATAAATACCTATTGTGTGTTTGTGAGCAGTAAGACATTTGTAGTGTTTTATCTTATGGAAGATAGAACACTAATAGTTTTTTGTTTTTCTAGAAGTAAGATATTTTAATGCTCCCGTCGTCAAGATAAGGTATTTCATTTTCTTTACTTGTTTACTTCAATCATTCGTAACAATAGAAAAGTCATTAATGACTTCCTTTATGACTCTATTTGGATGTTGGATGTTAATTGTTTGTGTTAGTTGTTTATTCTAAATGACTATTTAGTTTAGCTGGTTTGACCGACTAGATGTGTCGGTTGATTGCAAAAAAATGTTTGATAAAATTATCTGTTTGAAATTCAAAAACCTGTCTCAAAAATAGAATATATATATATATATATATATATATATATATATATATATATATATATATATAGAGAGAGAGAGAGAGAGAGAGAGAGAGAGAGAAGTACCCGAGTTTACTCACCCACTACTTTTTTTAAAATTTAAAAATAAAAAATATTTCATTAATTAAAAGTGAAATTTGCATGGAATAAAACTAAAACATAAGTCATTTTCCCATGTAGGACTTAAACTTTTTTATTTCCTAAATAGGATTTAATAATGACTAGTGAGAAGATGAATGTCCAAGTGATGCTGGACATTTAGTAGAATAATGACTAATAGATAATGACCAATGGTCCTAATTGAATAATAAAAACATAGATAATGACCAATGGTCGTATTTTGAGAAAGTCATTATTTTTTATTTCTATTTAGATAAATTACTCTGATTAAAATATGGTCAAAATTATGATATGGTCATCATAAAATACGGTACATATTTTCTGATAATTTTCTCATCATAAAATTAAAGTATGGTCAAAATTAAGGTACATTTAATATTTTTCTAAAATAAAAAAGGATGCATTTGGAATAAATTTATCCCAATAGTGTGATGCACACACTTACAGCACACAGGGGGAGAGACTTTAAGTTGCGTTTGGTATTATTCCAATTCCAAAGAGAGAAAAGGGAAAGAGAATGGGGCAGTGGGGAAAGGGAATATGAAGCAATATTAATATGCGCAATGACTATGCAAATCTGAATCAGATTTTAACTTTAACCAAACAAAAGGAGAAAAGATACCCTAATAATATTCGTAATTCAGTTGGTGGTTAATGTGATGAGATGACGTGGCTGTGAAGGCTGAGAAGGCAATGACTCTCTGGTGACGTGTCTTTGTCTATCTTCATGTGCATCCAAGTTTGTTTTTTTAGTCAAACTGAATAATTTTTTATCATCGATTTAAAAAAAATTACTTTGCGTATAATTATAAAAATAATTTTATCATATTTATCGTGCAGAGAAATTTTTAATAATTTATTTCATTGTATTAATATGTAAAATATACGTAGTATTATTTAGCTTGATTGATGATTAAAATTTGTTTGGTTTGACTCAAAAGTAAAACTAAATGAATATACTAAAACAAAGAGAACAATTTTTAAAATATCACTTAACCTTTTGTTTGGAAGAGGAAAAAATAAGAATGGAAAAAATAAAGGGCTGAGAACATATAACTTATTTGAGAAGGGGGAAGGAAAATAAGGAAGTCTAACTTATTTGAGAAAATATTTACTTTTTTCTTCATTACTTTTCCTCTAGAGGGAAGTCTAAATAGTACTATAGCTTTACATTCACTCTATATATTACTCCTTGTGTTTCATATATATCATTCTTCACATTGCATAAAACAAAGAAAAAATCTCAATTTTTTAAATCTTAAAATCCCAAGTTTTTTTAAAAAATAAAACTTACATATCAAAAAACTATATGAAAATTAAAATTCAACAAAATAAGCAGTGAAAAATATTTTATTTTATCATATAGATCATGAAAAAACACAAATAAATACGTAGTAAAAGTTTTTGTGATATTGAAATAGTACTTTGTAAAGAAAGATATGAGACAGAGGGAGTAGAAGGTAAAATGATTTATTTTTCTTCCATCATAAAATATCCAAACAAGAGAAGCTAAGGCCCCGTTTGGTACAAGGAATTCAAAATATGAAACTGGAATTGAGGACATCAATTTCAATTCTAGTGTTTGGTAGCACAAAAATTGCATGGATTTGGAATTGATAGTGCAAAAAACGAATTGCAATTGGCAAGATTCAATTTTATGGAATTGAATCTCATGGAATTTCAATTCCAATTCAATTCCAACTCCGTCAATTCCGTATACCAAACGGACCCTAAGCGAAATTATTTTATTTTCTCCTCCCAAAATTTGTAGCATTGTTTTTTTTCATAACAAAAATCTATCCAAATAGGGGTAAAAGTTTGACTTAACATATACTCCCTCCGTCTCCCAGTTTTTGTCCACTTTTGACTTTTGGAACTGTTCATCTAAGCACTTTGACTCATCAAATTCTCTCAATGTGTAAGCATAAATATAGTCATGTGTGATCTTGTTTGATTTGTCTTAACATATAGATTATTAATATATAATTTTAATAATTTTTTAATATACAAATTACAAGATAAAATGGATTAAAGAATTGCATTGGATGGTGTATAAAAATGAAAGTGGACAAATATTCTGGGACGGAGGGAGTATATTTTAAGGCCAAGTAGCGCCAGTACCCCCATGGTTTGCAAAATAGGCACCAATTCTCCCTATGTTTTCAAAATTTATTTCTAAAATCCTTTTGGTTTCAAAATGTTGCACCTGTGCCCCCTCTGATCATTTACGACCATTTTTCCGGCGAAGAAAGAAGGCATTGGTGCATATTTTCTAAACCATATGGGGTATCATTGCTGACTTTTATTTCTCACTTATTTCTTCACCGGAAAATGGCCGGAAAACAATTCAATTGGAGTAGTTATTGAACCATACCACATAGTTTCGACATGTCACAAAAGCTACAAAAAAGACATGGGCGATACTACTATAAAGGACGGTTTCAATATTTCCCACACGCAATCCCTTATATAGCCGTTGGGGTGGACGGATACTCAGATGGGATAGGCCTGATAATAAACCCAAAGTCCCAGTTGCAATATGATGTGAAGCTATATATTCCTCCTGGAAGGCTGGAACCAATGGATCAAAACCTTCTATGCCCCAATCCATTTTTGGATGGATCGTGCCGCCTCGATCATCGGCTTGTCACTTCTCTTTGTGACTCTTCTGGCGTGCACTTTTTTTTGGTACACTTGGTTCCGGTTGAATTTACGATACCGACTTTGGGCCTCGAGATTTACCGAGTTTTGCGTATCGAACATCGATAGTTATTTCCGTGCGATTGGGAAATCCACATCGCTTGCTCGTTTGCTCGAGACCGGACGAAGGAACGTTAAAACCGAAAGGATTCATGTTGAAAAAAAGAGAAACATTGAAGATTTTTTTTAATTTGAAGAAGAGGAAGAGAGGTAGAGAGATGTGTGTGTTTGATTTTTAAAAAAAATGAATAAAATTTATAGGAAGATGATTTTTTTTGTTTTAACAGCTAAATAGTTGTTGGAAGGGAGGGTGGGGGAGAGCTATTGATATGGTATCGTATCGGAATAGGAAAGGTTGAGCACCTCCGAGCTATAGAATTAGGAAAAGGGAAGGGAAGAGAGAATCGCACGACACTTTGTTCGGAGGAATAGAAGAACGAGAGGGAAGAGGAAGAGATTATGGTTTAGGGAAAATTGTTTCTTATTGATTCAATAATTCTAAACACGTACATCTCAATTTATAGAATGGAACTCTAAAACCCTAAGAGAGTCCAATCCCTAAAAGAAACTAAATAAAATAAGAAACTAATTAATAACCTAACAAAAATAATATTCTCTAATCTTAATTAACTAACCATATATAATACCTTACCTATAATAATAATAATAATAATAATAATAATAATGATAATAATAATAATAATCCCGTAACAGCGAACAACAAAAAAGGAACAACTATTTAATTTACAGCTTCAAATGTTTGACGCTAGTCTCCTAATGCCGAGATAACTTCCCACGAGGGCGGTGTTTAACATCACGCTGACATTAAACACCGGTTGAAGCCCTCCGGCCATATGTGTATTTCCATTGCTCTTAGTGGTTCGACGCTAAATGACATGAAAGAATAGCGTGATGAACATGAGGTGTTAACCAATGACCTTAATCTTTAGGGACACGTATAATGATTGGTCTTGGGCAAAGTCCTAAGAAGAATAATTGGATTGGAAGATAGGGTCATGCTTGATTAGCATCATAGGCATATAGGGATGAGAGGAGGAGTGGTCCACTTAAAAATGATTGCCCCCATATTATTATTATTATTATTAGTTCCCTTGAAATTGTCTCCCCCTTGTGTTTTGGTGCCTTGTCTCCCCCGCGCGCGTGTATGAACTCAACTCATATCATCCCAGAATTTTGTGTCTTTTCCGTACACTCATTTTCAACCCTTCTAGCTGGCCGGCTTCTCACCTCTTGACCTTAATCTCCATTCCCTTCCTACTCACTTTTCATCATTTTATTCCCACAAATACAAATTAAAGGTTTTGTTTGAATTTGG